CATGTGCAGAAGGCACGCAGTGAGCAAAGCAAATGTGCACACATGCACACTCACATTTTCGGTGTGCAACGAACAGGTGATAAGATTATGTGAAGCCACCTCACATCTGGACCTGGGTTATCTCTTTTCACATCAACCGATTCTCTCTCCCCCACTGACTTCCCACAGACTCTCCCACACTGGCAAAGAACCAGATTCCTCCTCTGACTCAAGTCTCTCAAAACACCCACTAGGTTTTACATTAGGGGTAGGAAGTGGCAGTGAAAGCAGAGTGATTCTCCTTCTTCTAGGGAAATGCTGACAGAGAGGCCCATCATCTCCTCCACTGTATTTTTTCCCTAACCACAAAATGTATTTAAAGCATTGGGTCAAAAATTTCATGCTGAACTGAGTCAACAAAGTCTTGAAATTTCATTTCTGCTAGTAAAAAGCCACACCCTAAACTGTCAAGAAGTGAATGGAGAACCTCTTAAGCAGCCTGTTGATTTGCTTCAAGAAACACATCAAAGTTTAAGGAGGGGCTACTTTTGGAAACCAAAAATGGACTAGCCCCCATAATTCAAGGTTTCCAAATGGTTAGGGGAGAAACAAGGATCCTTGCAATCTGCAAATGTTATTAAAGTGCAAATCTCAATTTTGGTATCTGAAGCTCTCCGTTCATAGAACACAGAATTATAGGCCTGGAAGGGACCTCGGAGATCTTCTAGTCCAGGGGTCCTCAAACTTTTTAAACTGGGGGCCAATTCAGGGTCCCTCAGACGTGTGGGGGGGGGGCAGACCGGCTGGGTGGGTGTAGGTAGGTGGTCATGTGACTAGGTGGGAGTGGCCAATTTAACAGTCCATTAAACAATGCACACACATTAAACTTTAATTTGTTTTGTTCTTGGGGATGTTTTACTTGCTTTTCTTTGCATGTTGCTCTTTTGCTTGACTTTTCTTTTTACTAGATTGTTTTTTCAGGAGTCTAGTGGTCCACTTCAGGAAACTTAGTTTTGCAGCAATTCTTCTCAGCCCCAAGGAGCTTGAGAAATCTCTCTCTCTCCATCTCTCTCTTATCTATCTATCTATCTATCTATCTATCTATCTATCTATCTATCTATCTATCATCTATCTATCTATCTATCTATCTATCTATCTATCTATCTATCTATCTATCATCTATCTATCTATCTATCTATCTATCTATCTATCTATCTATCTATCT